TTAAATCAAGCCTTTTTACTAGTGATTTAAATCATGATTTAAATCAACTCGATTTAAAAATCGAATCCACCCTGCCTGTGATCTTGGGAAACAGCAACGGACAGAAGTATGAACCAGTTTAGAAACATATGAACGTTGGTCGCATGATGCTACTGTTCTGACCAAGGCTTCCTAATACACCAACAAACACACATTCAATCCAAAACCCTTTTATTTTAGTTTAACGGCTGTGAATTATTGTCATTCACAGCCTGTAATGAGTCTCGACCAGTTATAAATAGTCCCATGGAAAACTGCCAAAGTCCTTCGGGAGAAGTCTGATAAGAACACACCTTTATCTTACTTGAAGTGCTGCCAACGACTAAAGTACCAATTAGTCTTTCAAACAGAGCACAAATTCACCATGGAGCTTTCATCTTTCAAACCCAGCAGAGCAAACAACGTTGCTTCCTGCAAAGATTCCTGTCCCTTTGCACTTCCTTTATGTCTTATGGGAGTGGCCAATCATCTCCAAGCCTTACTCCCGAGTCTCCCCTTTTGTCTTAGCTGCTCTTGCCTTCTGGAAGCTCTACACACACACACACACCCGCACGCGCGCCCACACACACACACACACACACACACACTGGGAAGAGGCACCCCTGGTTCTTCTGCCTTGCTGCTGTCAGATTCTGGAGGCTCTGGAATCAGCACATAAGTCCCAGATGGCCCCTGGCCCCATCTCTGTATCGAACTCAGGACCAATGTCCAAGTCATCCCCAGACTCCCAGAATTGGCCACGTTCTTCCCAACAGTCCGATTCTGCTGCCATCTCTGCCGGCTGCCGGCAGACCACAACAGCTACCAAGATCGTAAGTGTGAAAAATGGTCATAAGTCACTTTTTCCCCCAGTGCGGTTGAAACTTTGAAACGGTCACTAAATGAGCTGTTGTAAGTCGAGGACAGCATGTATTTTAGACCTCCATTTGTAAATAATTCTGAACGGAGCATGGTTGCGGGTTGGCTAATGCGGTATGCCTTTGGAACATGGAAGAAATCACTCCTGTCTCCCCAGAAATGATGGAGCGCAAGCTGTCAAATTGCAAAACGCTGACATCTTTCCCACGTCGTCCCTTGGCATTCAGAGAAATCTTAGCAGCTGCTTCCGATCTTGTCAGCTGGCTGCAGAGAAAAGCAGGCCAAGTCCCTTGAATTTTATACCCAGCTGTTTTCAAAAGGAATATGCAAAATGTTCCTTTTTTCCAGAAATGGAACTTCCGGTGAAGTCAAGAACATTCAGGGTTTCCACCCCCACTTTGTAGGCTATGTAGATGGAGATGAGTATCTTCCAGAAACCAAATAGGTCCGTGGTTGTTTCAAAACATGACAGCGCGCTCCAGTCCCTGAGGAAAATGGAACATTCTGGAATTCCCCAGAACGTTCTGCCTCTGGAATGAAACATTTTGACCGTGTTTTAAGTTTTAAGCTGTGAAATGAGATGCTGCATTTTTTGGAAGGAGAGATATTTTGGCATTGGAAGTAAAATATAATTTACAGATAGTCCTCGACTTACAGTGACTTGTTTAGTGATGGTTTGAAGTTACAGTGCCACTGAAAAAAGTGACTTATGACCTTTTCACGCTTACAACCATGGCAGCATCCCATGGTCATGTGACCAATGTTCAGATGCTTGGCAACTGACTCACATTTATGACAGTTGCAGTATCCCAGAATCATATCCCCTTTTTGTGATCTTCTGACCAGCAAAGTCAATGGGGAAGCTAGATTTCCTTAAGAACCTCAGTGATTCGCTTAACAACCGTGGCACAAATGGTCATAAAATGAGGCAAAAGCCACTTAGCCACTGTCTTGCTTAGCAATGGAAATTTGGGGCTCAGTTATGGTCATAAGTCAAAGACTAATTGTACACATACGTTAGTAGTCAAAGAATTTACAACTTGGCCTTGTCTCTTTTCTGAAGATAAAACCTGCCATAACACATCATCTTATTACATTGTGTAACCAAGATCTTTTCCTCCCTCCCTCCCTATTTTGTTCCTGTGTATGAAATTGATTTACTGATTGTATCTAATAGAAAAACAGAGTTGGAAGGGACCTTGGAGGTCTTCAAGTCCAACTCCCTGTCTAGGCAGGAAACCAACCCTACACCACTTCAGACAAATGGTTATCCAATCTCTTCTTAAAAACTTCCAGTGTTGGAGCATTTACAACTTCTGCAGGGAAGCTGTTCCACTGATTAATTGTTCTAACTGTCAGGAAATTTCTCCTTAGTTCTAAGTTGCTTCTCTCTTTGATTAGTTTCCATCCATTGCATCTTGTCCTGCCTTCAGGTGCTTTGGATAACAGCTTGACTCCCTCTTCTTTGTGGCAGCCCCAGAGATATTGGAACCCTACTATCATGTCTCCCCTAGTCCTTCTTTTCATTAAACTAGACATACCCAGTTCCAGCAACCGTTCTTTATATGTTTTTGCCTCCAGTCCCCTAATCCTCTTTGTTGCTCTTCTCTGCACTCTTTCTAGAATCTCAACATCTTTTTTACATCGTGGTGACCAAAACTGAATGCAGTATTCCAAGTGAAGCCTTACCAAGGCATTATAAAGCGGTATTAACGCTTCACGTGATCTTGATTCTATCCCTCTGTTTACGCAGCCTAGAACTGTGTTGGCTTTTTTGGCAGCTGCTGCACACGGCTGGCTCATCTTTAAATGGTTGTCCACTAGGACTCCGAGATCCCTTTCACAGTTGCTATTATTGGGCAAGGTACCACATATACTGTACCTGTGCATTTGATTTTTCTTGCCTAAATGTAAAACCTCCCCACTTATTTTTTTGTATATCTATCATATACAATGAGGATGTTTAAAGAGCAATGGGATGTCACTCAGGATGCTTATATTTAAATTTTCTGATTTATTTTTGGCAGTCTAAGAGTACAGTGGAGAACAGGATTAACATCACGAAAAGTCTTCTTTTTGTGGCTTGGCGCCTGTTGCTTTTGTATCCTGCCACCGCTACATTTCTAGCTATGTAAAGTTTGTGAGGCTTAACACACTAGCTTTACTTTTGTTCTCTGTCAAAGATGGAACAGGGCAGATTGTCAGAGATTTGTCAACAGGAAGGCGGTGATTTAAAAATAAATCCTCTTGTTGATATCATTTAAGAGTCAGGCTGGGCCAGATTTGGGTTAATGGAGACATGGCTTTTAATTCTGTATTTTGTTTCCTCTTGTCTATAACTCTATTACCCCAGGTTGATACAGACCTGATCTGGGTGGTTGGTGTGATTGTGTTTGTTGTCGCCACAAGGGGTGGAGGGGCTTATGGGTTTTGTACTGGAGAGTTTATTTTGTAAGTCGCCTGGGCTCATTGCGTGTGAGTTGGGCAGCCATATACATTTGTTTAATAAATAGTAAATAAATATGATGAATCCATCAAGTAAGGACCTACTAGCTCACGTCTGCACAATAGACAAAGTGTTGTTAGTTTTTAGCTTTTTGTTTTTGCAGCTTGGTCTATGTTATTTTATTTATTGATTCACTATATAGCAAAACTCCAAGATGTCCTCACAGAGGGTGTGTGTGTGCGCGTGTGTATACGTGTGTGTGTGTGTGAAGATGTGGCCTCGATCTACAAAAATAAAAAAAAAGCAGGGCCTTGATCGTACCATCACAGCCTTGGTTTTGTAGACACATACAAACTCAGAGGTGACCCTGGTGAAACTAATGGTGGGAATCAGGTGTCCGTTATTCATGAATGTCTGCTAAATGTGGAAGTATGACATCATAGCAAGTGTTCTATTTTTCTTGATGGTGTAAATTATCCCAAATGTTGCGTATCAGTTCCTTGATCTGATGCTTACTTGGCCAGTATAAATGCATGGATGCAACCTGCCTGTTATTGGCATTGTGACATCATCTGTTGATGTCACATCACTCAGACAATGAAAAGCTGGTCTGTAGCATGTGAAATCCATTGTGTCAAGAACCACAAAAATGCAAGTTTCACTTCTATTGTAGAAGCAAGAGAAAAAAATGACCAGTAATAAAGCTGTTAAGCCCTACATAATTGCTGAGGCCAAGAGAGCAAGGACATGCAGATTTTACGATACAGATAGAATCTTAAAGACTGTAATAGAAATTTCCCAACCTCCTTTCTCTTGAGTTGAGCTGGGGGTCTCTTTAAAATTCTCTTTCGCAATGATCGTCCCCTCCAGGTTGAATTGCCCTTAATAAATGAAACTGACAGACCTTTTAATTTTCCTTCCCCACCACAATCATACCGTTGTGGCCTGTCGGCTGCCGGCCCCTCTAGCAGCCAAATCGGAGGAGGTGTGGGAGTCAGGGTCAGCATCGAGGCAACCTGAGAAAGAGGGAATGGAGCTGGTAGAGAGAGACAGACAGAGGCGGAGCCTGGGCTGTCCATCAGCCCTCAGATGGAGAGTCAACAGCCCCCAGGTCTGGAGGTGGCTGATAAGTAAGAAGAACAGCTGGGTCCAGTGCCTGAAGGCAGAGGAGAGGAGAGCAGTGGAAATCTATGGGCCGGTCTTGGAACGGTAGAGCCACTGCTGCTAGCAAAGCCCCACCTTAGCTCTGGGATAAAAGGCAGGGGGTGGAGATGAATAGATGTGGCAGACAACTATTCATCTCCCTGGCGGATGGACTTGTTAGCCTGTGTTGAGAGAGAAACTTTTTGCTGGGGCTTCCGGCGCTCCTAATAAAGGAATCTTTTGAGTTTACATCAGAGGATTTGTCGTGTTTGGGGAGCTGGGTCAGAACACATATAGACAAAGTGTGCTGCATGACACTAAAGGACAACCTTATAAAAGCAGCTGGCTTTAGGTACGACTACGGTTCACAGCAGAAATTAAAATAGCGAGCAAAGCATAGTGGCTTTATTAAATAACTACCGGCGGGACGGGTTTTGGCAATACATTCTTAGCTGCCTTAGTGACATTGTGCGAGTTAATACAATTTCCACAGTTCCTGCAGAGGGAAAAACAAACCCGCTTGAAATTCTCCGAGTAACATTTTCTACATAGAATCTCTACAGGCCTAAGGATGTTGGCTCTTCTGGTCTTGTTCAACCAACATGGATGTCCTTCCATCTTCTCAGCCAGATATCTGGTAAGTATCCCATTTCACTGCACACTTTCTGTGGAAGCCTACCATGCAAATATTCAGCTACACCTACATAAACCAAAGCTAGTTTCCCAGCCCAGACATATTAAGCAATTACTAAAGACCCCAGCAGAGATAAACCATGTTTCTGCCTTGTGTAACTCTTGCCCTCCATCAAGCAACGCTATAAAGAGCAGAACAACGCAGTACAAAAGATATCATAACTTGAGATTCTTTTTTTTTGGAGAAAGATAATGTGTATCTTAGCAGTGCTATGAGTCCATACAACAAGAATAGACCCGACTTATTTCAAGTGAAACTCAAAAGTTCATACAATATGGATGTTTAAAAAAAAGTGGGGGGGATTTGTAAGTAAGATAGTCTGCGATTCTTAAACTGGGTGAGGCAGCCATTAATTTTGATTATCTTTTTCTTTCCCAGTTTCATGAAAATGAGAAGCAGAAGAAAAGGAATGGAGTGCAAATTAGTTGGGTCACTCAGATCTTAGGATAGCGAAGGGGGATAAAAAGCTGTCATCTTGGCAATGGTGACTTCAGGATCAACATTAAAAGGTATAAAAGGTTTTTTTAAAAAGTGTGCTTGTAATGAATTTCAGAAGATTCGTTAGATTCTGCTTAATGAGGTCACGTCTAGCAATTTTCTCCCTTCCTCTCTGCGTAGGCTTAAGGATAGATACTGTATAATGCAGCTTCTAAGGTAGGGATTGTTTATTCTTAAACCCTATGCTGAAATGAGCTAAATTCTGCCCTCTAAAATTTCAAGCGCATAGCTATTTGGAGATCCACAGCTAAAAAGAGCTGTGGTGGCACAGTGGTTAGAATGCAGTACTGCAGGCTATTTCTGCTGACTGCTGGCAATTTGTCAGATCAAATCTCACTGGGCTCAAGGTTAACTCAGCCTTCCATCCTTCCAAAGTTAGTAAAATGACCTAGACTGTTGGAGGCAATATGCTGACTCTGTAAACCACTTAGAGAGGGCTGTAAAGCACTATGAAGCAGTATATAAGTCTAAGTGCTATTGCTATCATAACCAAACAGAGTAATTTTAATTTTAATTAATTAAACACAGCCCTCGACTTATGACCACCATTGAGCCCATGGGGACACTGTGAGGGTTGCAACTTACAGGAGCCATCATAAACGCCCCATGTCCAGTGCCATCCTAACTTTGAACGCTTGTGTTCTGAGCCAGCTCCTCAAACACGACAAACCCTCTGTAGTTGAAGCAATGATTCCTTTATTAGGAGCAGCCCCAGCAAAAAGCTTGTCTTTGACCTCAGGCTAACAAGCCTGTCCAGCAGGGGAGATGAATAGTTGTCTCCCATATTATTCATCTCCGCCCCCTGCCTTTTATCCCCAGAGCTACGGTGGGGTTTCGCTAGCAGCGGTGACTCTTCCGCCCCAAGGAGCATCCCATAGATTTCCACTGCTCTCCTCTCCTCCACTTTCTGTGCATCCGTGTGTCAGGCACTGGACCCAGCTGTTCCTCCTCTTCCTCATCAGCCACCTCCAGGCCTAGGGGCTGTTGATTCTCCATTTGAGGGCTGATGGAGGACCCAGGTTCTGCCTCTGCCTCTGCCAGCTCCATTCCCTCTTCCCCCTTGGAGCTCTCAGGTTGCCTTGATCTTGGCCCCGACTCCCACGCCTCCTCCTCCTCCTCCTCTGAACGGCCACACTTATGACCATTGTAGCATCCTCATGATCATGGCACCGAGATTTGGATGCTTGGCAGAGGTGCCTTGGGGTCGTATGATCCCCTTTTGCGACCTTCTGACAAACAATGTCAATGGGGGAGCCAGATTCACTTAACAACCATGTGACTAATTTAACAACTGCAGGGATTCAAGTTAACAAATGTGGAAAGAAAAGTCATAAAATAGCAATAGCACTTATATACCGCTTCACAATGCTTTAACCACTTTAAAGAGTCAGCTTATTTGCCCCCAACAATCTGGGTCCTCATTTTACCCACCTCGGAAGGACGGAAGGCTGAGTCAATCTTGAGCCTGGTGAGATTCGAACTGCCGAATTGCAGTCAGCAGAAGTACCTTGCAGTACTGCAGTCCAACCACTGCGCCAACATGGCTAATGGGGCAAGACTCACTTAACAACTCTATCATTTAGCAACATCAATTCTGGGCTCAATTGTGGTCATAAGTTGAGGATTACCTGTACTTAACTTTTAGGCGTTGCAGTGTTGATGTCCTCCCTTATTTTACGCTTCGGTCAGAGGTGGTCATTCAGCAGGTTCTGACCAGTTCTGGAGAACCTGTAGTGGAAATTTTGAGTAGTTCAGAGAATCGGCAAATACCACTTCTGACTGGCCCCGCCCCCATCTCTTCTCTGCCTCCCATTGAGTCCCAGCTGATTGGCTGGGTCTTCTTTTGTTGCTCTGCACAGGAAAATGGAGCTGGAAAGCAGGTTAGTGGGGTGGGGAGGGAATGGAGATTTTACAATATCCTTCCCCCAGGGTTGGGGATGGAATGGGGATTTTGCAGTAACCTTCCCCTGCCACATCCACCAAGTCATGCCCCCAGAACTAGTAGTAAAAAAAATTGAATCCCACCACGAGTTTTGTTGTATTTTGGTAGACCCCCACAATTTGTGTGCAGTTTCGTGTCCCATGGACAATTTTGTGCAAGTTGGCCATCATGTTGCTTCTTATAGCTACAACACAAAGATAAGGATTGATGTAAAGACATTGATCTCAATGGCATATAAAACATTGAAAATGAAATAAATCCAGCTTGGAAGAGGTTGCACTGACTTTAAGAAGTGCTCTGACACTTCTGTGACCACGGTGAAAGCATTTCCGAACCAGTTTTTTTGGCAACTGGCTCATATTTACAAACGGTTGCAGTGTCCTGGGTTCATGCGATCCCCTTTGGTGACCTTCTGACATGCAAAGTCAACGGGGCAGCCAGTTTCACTTAACAACCATGTCATTAACTTAACAACTGCCATGGTTCATTTGACAACGGTGGCAAGAAAGGTCGTACAACGGGGCCAAACTCACTTAACAAATGTTTCACTCAGCAGCATAAATTTTGGACTCAATTGTGGTCGTTACTTGAGGACTACCGGTATCGCATCCTGTTTTGGGTTCATGCCAGTTATGAAATGATAGGAAAATGCTGAAAAGAATTCCAAGTTTGCACATGTCAATTGATGCACAATTCCATCGATTGGCTGACAGATGCTTATCCTGTGACTCAGAATACTGCAGCATATAATCACCTGGATCGGTTATGTTGATTGATTGTGGTGCTCATGTTGACCGAATGACATCTCATATGACAAGCCTAGTTAGCTTCCTGACATTTGAAGAACTGCCTCTCCCCAATTACATCCACCTGGCTCACCAAGATGGAAAGATAGGGTGTGTTAAAGTTCCCATCGATTAGAGATTGTCATCCCACGGGCAGTGTCATAAATACATGCCAATTGCCAAGCACCAAATTTTGGGGTTACTGCTATGTTCCTAAATGTGAAAAATGTTCATAAATCATTTGGTTAAATGGTCACCAAAGAAATGGTTGTCAAGGGTCTATGGAGATTGTCAATCCAGGTCATGGTTGTCCCAAAGGTGCGTTTTCAAGAGGTAGCTGGACTTGGCTGTTTTTTTCATTGAAGATGTTTCGCTTCTCATCCAAGAAGCTTTTTCAGTTCTGGCAGGATGGTGGGGAATGGAAGGATTTATATTCCTTGCAGGCAGCTGGTCATTTGCATCCTTTTCAGAAAGTCATTGAGGCCACTTGGAGGTTTATCCGAGTCATCAGGGTCACCTGAGTAGTGCAAATGGGTGTTGGAGACTTGGAACCGCTGAAACGATTGTGTTGTAGACTGGAGACAGGACTCACCTATCCTGAGGACACAGTTGACCCTCCAAGTGGCCTCAACAACTCTCTAAAAAGGATGCAAATGACCAGCTGTCTGCAAGGAACATAAATCCTTCCATTCCCCACCATCCAGTCAGAGCTGAAGAAGCTTCTTGGATGAGAAGTGAAAAGCCAGGAAGCCCAGGTGCCTCTTGAAAAAAGCACCTTTGGGATAAGCTTCTTGGATGAGAAACAAAATGTTTTCAAGGGAAAAAAAAAACAAGAAGAAAGTTCTGTAGCCTTTTAAAAAGCACATTTGAGACAAATGGTTGTTAAGTCAAGGACTGCAATGTAACATAAACATCATATTAACGATGAGGTTTGGATAATGGATAAATGGTGAGTAAATTGTAATTGCCACATCACATTTGAAACTCACTGCGATTGTAAGCATTGCAAGTCCTGACGGAAATCCCACAAGTAGTAAAATGCGATTAAAACAAAATTTGCAACTGGCTTTGAACAGTGCCTGAGTCACCACTTTTGTTCTTTAAGAAAGATGGTTTGTGGGTAGGATCTAGAATGAGCTTCTGTCAGTATAATGAAGGGATCTTCGATTGGAATCCTTTTTCTCATCTTAGCATCACATCCTCCCATGGGGAAAAAAAAAAAAGAGCTCACACCCAGCAGCCTAAATCACAGAAAGAGCTAAGCTCCAAACTTTTAGAGTTCCAACACAGATCATGGAACATCAGAGTCGGAAGGGACCTTGGAGGTCCTCTAGTCCAACCCAGGCAGGAGACCCTATACCATTTCAGACAAACTCCTGTCCTGTCTCTTCTTAGCCTCCATTGTTGGAGCACCCACAACTTCTGAAGTTCCACTGGTTGATTGTTCTCACTGTTAGAAAAGTTCTCCCTAGTTCTAGGTTGGTTCTATCCTTGTGTTCTGACCCAAACCTTGTTCCAAGGAAACAAACACAAAACAGAGGTAACAGCAAAACCTTTTAAAGATTCTTTACGAATTCCGTTCCTTCACAGTTAAAAAGGCTGTTTCAAACTAATTGTCTCTGATAAGAACGAGCCTTGCCAAGGTGGTGCAAGGCTGCCAAGAACACTAGGTAAAGTTATTAAGAAATATTTCAAACACAAAGTGTCTCCAAACACCAATCAAGATATTCCGAACGTCTACAAGGCTTGAGTGCAAAAACTTCTTTGCTTCCTGCAAAGAACTCTGGTTTCTCAGCTGGCTTTTATCTCTTGAGGGAGGGGCCATTACCTTGCAGCCTTACTCCTGAGTCGCCCGTGCTGCTGCAGCTGCTCTTTCCTTCGAGCAGCCCTGCACGCACACATGCTGGGCACAGGCTCCTCGGGGGCCTCTTCATCACTGCTGCCAGCCTCCACAATCTCCGAAGGCAGCATTTCACTCCCTGATGGTCCTGCCCCATCCCTGCATCACACACGTGCCTGTCATCTGATTCCTCGCTCTCGAGACCTCAGCCGTCTGCACCTGCTGCCGGCAAACCACAACACTTTGATTAGTTTCCTGTTCTGTCTCACCTGTGGCCACGAGGTGAGAGTCCAAAAGTCCAAAGGAAAAAACACAAACAGACAATATCAGGAACAACAGAGTTAACTTTCCTTTGGCTGAATTCGTCGTTGGCAGTTTTCCCAGAAGCTGTCTGCAAATTCTGATAACGAGCAGAACTATAAATCAGAGACGAATGGCAAACAG